ATGGGCAAAATTAACTAGCAGGTTGAGGTACTAACTTTTATGAGCTGATGAAAAAAAAAGACTTAAATAAATTTTAAACGACTTTTAATTTTTCATTCTATATCAAGAAGGGATTTATCCTAATTGTCTTATTATTTTACCTAAATTCTCATCGATTTTGAATTTTCTCTGTTGGCTTTGGGCCTAGGGACAGGTAGTTATAGTCTGTAAAGTTTAAAATAAATAGTCTATTTTAGTTAATTTTTTTCAAGTTCTTCAGATTATGACCAAAAAAGGCTAGAGGGCTGATTTTGAAACTGTTATGGTGAAAGATGGTATTTGAAAACTTTTGATGAGGGAAATTGCTGCTGTATTTACATTTTGAAAAGTGTTTCCTTATTTATGCACTATTGACTTCCTATTGAGACTCAAAATTTTAAGTACAACTGGTAAAAATTCAATGGATCAAACTCAGTAAATCTGAAGTCACTGGAATAAAGCCCCCTAAGAAAAAAATGTGTCAATTTTAAAGGTCTTTCCTAACTGAAGACCATTTTGTGATAGAGCCAAAGGTTAATAAAATCAGTAGTGAATGTAGCAATTTTACAGATAAGCTATTCACAACAAGTGTAGTTACTTGAATAAAAAGCTAATTCAGTTCTAAAATGCCACATGCAGTAGCAGTGAATAGCTGCTTTTAGGTGCTTTCTGGAGGAGGATAAAATACAGAATCACGGCACTCTTCTCTTCCAGCGTCCCTGGCTGCCTGTAAATTGCTGTGAATGGGGCTGTGGGCTGACAGGCTCTATTAAGACAAACTGCCTTTCTCATCGGAGAGATAAAATAAATCAGGTGTTTAGTCAAATTAAAATACTTCAGCTGGAGCAGGCCCTGGGGAGCATTGATCCACCTGACTAATCTAAGAGAAACTCAAGACAGATGTGGTTTGGGGATAAAGACGACCCCATGGAAAAAAAAAAAAGAACACCAGAAAACCCCCCTACTGCACTGTCTTTGTAGTTGGAGAATAGATACAGTTTACAGCGGAGAGTGTCAGGCGCACACTGTGTGTGATATTGGATAAAAGCAGGCGCCCTAACCTGTAGAGAAGCTGTGTATGGAAGCTCTTTTTTCTGGTTCCCTTTTTTTGGTTTATGAAACTACTTATGTTTTTGTGGAGAGACTATTTTCTGGCAATGCTTTTTAGAGAATCATTTTAAGATAGCCTGAAGGATGTGAAACGGATGATGTAGGCAGCCACTGATGACCTCTGCTGGCCTGGGCAGATCCTCAGGATCTCATCTGCTGTTTTTCTAAGTGGATTTTATCAAACCTCAAAGCGTGATTTAAGACAAGATTTTCTACATAGAGTTAGCCTACCTCATAAGAGCATTCTATTGGGTTGCCCAAAAAGTGCATTCGGTTTTAAGTAAAAATAAAAGACACATTTTTCATTTTCACAAAGAACTTTACTGAACAATGTATTCATTAACCAAATGAACTTTTTGGCCAACCCAATGTATGGTCGTTTGCCTTCCTTAGTACGTATTTAGGCTGCCTCACGATGTCCCATAAATTGTCTGCTTTTTCAGCAACTCTCACAGTTGTAGTTCCTTTGCTATGGCAAAGTTTCATGTTCAATTAAACTAGTATTTTTGAGATGAGATAACTTGTGTTCGCAGGTTGGTTGGTCAGCGTGATTTAGACTTGATGTTGCTTTTATTATAGCTGCATACATATTTGCTGTTAATTAAAACAAAAATCCAGCACCATGGATTTTAAATACCTGGGTTTAAACCACTATATGTGAACAAATACAATGGGTATAGAACAGAAAAATGACTACACACACACACGCACACACACATACACACATATATATATATATATATATATATATATATATATATATATAGTCCCTTGGGGATCAAGTTAACTAGAAATCAATTTAAACCATACAACAGCTTACATTCTCTAAATGTGTAGGCTAATGTGTGTGTGTGTATACATATATATCCATATGTGTATTTCCCATTTCAAGGGCAATTTTAGATTTGTTTTACTACTACATTTCATTCCAACTGCATTTGTCATGCCACTCACATCTATTCAAAATATATATGTGCTTCTCAAATTTAAGGAAAAGATAATGACAGCCTTATATGAGTACCCAACTCTTCAATTTAAACATACTGATCTCTGGTTTGTTTTCTTCTTAAACATGTATCTTTTAAGTTCAATGAAAGACTTATTTAGGTGTTATTGAATTTTTATAATTAAACAACTTGAGTGTCATGCTGGTTTGTAAAAAGATTCAGTTAAATGGTGTTATTCTGTAAATTCAGAAATACATGTCTATTAGTATTGGAAGCACCAATGCATTTATAGACCTGTTGGCTTCACCTTGAACAGAAGAGGCTAAGAAGCCATTTGTGTGTTATCTTCAGCTTCTCTGTTTCCTATGCAGAGGAGAAAGGGAAATATATTGAAGATTTTTGAAAAGACAAAGTTTAACCTGGGAGAGAAGAGAAAATTTTCCAGTCTTTACTGGAGAATCTAAATACCAAATTTGACTCTTGTATTGGTCCTTGCCCAAAATTTCCAATGAATGCTCTTCTTTATTAACAAAGAATTATGGTACAGTAACTTTCCCAGTATCCAGTAAGTCTTCTCTTAACTCACCTCATATACATAGGTATAACAAGATAATTACATGTAGATCAGAATGTTGCCAAAAAGCATATGTAATAAACCCCATTTATCTATTCTCATAACTTTCCAAACTATTCTCCACACTGTAGCCAGAACACCCACATCATCTCTTGTTTAAAGTACTTTAGTGATTTTGAAATTTTCTTAGAATAAACATGAAGTTCTTCCAGTGGTCTATAAGGAGCTGAATGGTGTGACCTTTTCCTACCTTTCTAGCCTCATTTGGTCCTCTACTCTCCTTTGTTTTTCTTATTTAAGTTTTACTACCTTCTTTTAATTTCTGGAACACACTGACACTCTCCACCACCACCTGCCCCCTCACAGGGCCTTTGCCTATATTGTTTTCTCCTACTGAAAAGCTCCTTGACCACCCTCCAACTCTTTGCCTAGTTAACTCTGTTAACTTGTTACTCCCAAACTTGGTTAAATCTCCCCCCAAATGTCTGTCCTGTTTATAATTCTTATTTAGTTGTAGTTTACATTTATATGTGTGATTATTTGATTAAGGTGAAAGGGAACTTTGCTTTTTTTGGTATGGGATCGGTATCCTTAGTTCTTGATATAGTACCTGAGATTCAAGAAATATTTTTTTAATTAAAATTTAATGAAATGAGTAAGTAAATTCCATACTTGTTTTATGTCTTCTCATTCTATATATCATTAACATTTATATTAGTTGAGCATGTTGTGCTTTGGAGGAGATTTTTATGATCCCCTCCAAGAACCTGATTTTGTATTTTAACATTTCTGGATCAAGAAGTTCTTTCTTTCACCAAGCTGAAATTCCTATTGCTGAAATAAAAACTCATTAAAAAAAAATCACTTTCAGTAGCTAGAAAGAACAGCTGGTCACTATCCTTGACGCAGCATTTGTTTCCTTATCAGTGGAGTACATTTTCTAACATCATTTCACTATCTTATTTTTCTTTTAATTTTTCTTTTAGGCCACCTTTCAGCTCAGTAAATCTTTAAGGGATATGGGATATTGACAGTTTATTTATGTATTTACTTATTTATTTTTAAGGACTTGAATTGGCATTAAGAATACCAAGGTAATTCTAAATATTGTAGCTTATCAGCCTTACCTTGTGGGAATCATATACTAGTAAGTGCTAGCCAGCATCACCTGAAGGCTTGCTTTTCCCATGGGCCCACTCAAAAAATAGGCCCATTCCTAATTAAAATATGTTCAGTTTCTCAAATTGTCCTGGTGCTTTCCTAGCAGGAGTGAGGGGGGTTTCATAAGGAGATTGGAAGTCTCCTCTTCCACACACACAAAAACTGGCAATCTTTATCTCTTTTGACAGCTGGTGGCATCTTTCTGAAAAGCTTTCAAAGCATAGATCATTTCTTCATAATGAAACCTGTGTGCTCAAATACAGTGGGTTGTGTGTTGAAATTCTTATCTTATGCTATGGCAAAATGCTCTAATTTAGATTCACAAAAGGATCCTGTACCCTTTACTTAGGAGAGCTGTGCAATTTGCCCATAAATAGACTGTTCAGCACCATTAGTGCACATCGTAGGTGTGCAGCGACATCATAACCTTTTCAACCTCGAATGTGTTTTTTCCTTTTGAAGAGTGACAAAGGGGTGAGGGAGCCCCCCAAGCAACATTATTGCCTTTAAGGATGAACTTGGGAACTTTAGCTTGATCCCCTCACCAAAAAAAAAATCAGTTTCAATTCTTTCTTACCTGAGGCAAGACAGATTTTTTTTTCTTTCTGTAGCACTCGTCCCATGGTCAAGAGTGACCCCTGACTTCTGAGATTCAGAGACAGATCTTTGCACAATAGAAAAATTTTATGAGGGCAGTGATCAGAAAATTCCTAAGTAACATTATTTAAGCACCTATTATGTCTTAGGTCCTCTGTCAGTCATTGAGGGTAGAGGTTGATTATAGAATATTAATACAACCCATAGTTTCTAATCTTTGGTACTAAATAGCATAAGGTTACTAGCTTGAGCAGATAGATTTGGGTGGGGAGGGAAGGGGAATGTGGTGAAAGGGAGAGAATGGAGTAGGTTGTTCTGTTTTGTTTTCTTTTTTGTTTTAAAGAGCAAGAGGGAAGAGTGAGTGAGAATTTTATCGGCAACAGTCCTTTCTCTTGGCAGGGGTGATGACTAACCCTAGCGTTCATTCCATTGCTACTCCATAGAGTTCCTGCACTTACAGTGACCTCCAGTTATTGTCCCAGGTATTTAAGTGTCTTAGGGTAGTCCCTTTCTAAATCTGCCCACCCACTTGCTTCCCTAATTCATTCAGAATTGTCTCAAACTTGTGAGATATCTTTTCGCTTCCATTTTAGGTACACCTGAGAGCCTGGCAGAAAAAGAACGGCAGCTCTCTACCATGATTACCCAGCTGATCAGTTTACGGGAGCAGCTCCTCGCAGCGCATGATGAACAGAAAAAACTGGCAGCCTCACAAATTGAGAAACAACGGCAGCAAATGGACCTTGCTCGCCAACAGCAAGAACAGGTGAGCCCTGCAAAAGGAGCTGATGAACTGGAGGTGTGGAATGTGCCAAGCTCAGCGAGTAATCACATTGATTGGTTTATTTGTCATAAGCCTTCCTAAAAAAAGAATGAAAGAAAGAAGCCTTCTGGAAATCCAGGGTCACCGAGAATACTGAGGGGATATGTGGAGGACAAAGAAAGGCGTCATAGCAACTGGGCATAACTGAAATGATAACATTGTTCCAGAACATTTGGATTTGATTAATTACTTGGGGAGACTTGTTCATGTAGACATCACGTATATTCCCAATGTAGCTTAACCATGAGTAAATCGCTCCTCTCTGGGCCTTACTCTTCTCTCATCCAGAAAAGGAGGATCCTGGTCTAGAAAAACTTTGAGAATCTTTCAGTTCACTGGTTCAAGCTAGGGTGACCATATGTCTCAGTTTTTCCAGAATAGCTCTGGTTAATGTCTGTTTTCCAAAGTAATTATTAATACTCCCCTCTTCCACTTGCAAAAGTTGTCCTGGTTTGGATGATAAATTATATGGTCACTTTATTTATAGCATAGGTAAATCATTAAAAACAAATTAACACATGGCTCATGGAAGAATTTGACTTCATTGATTTAGAAGTGAGAAAAATAGCAAAGTTTGTGTGTATCTTTTAAAAAATAAATCACTTTCCCAAATGTTTTTCCTGTCTCATAAGAGTGCATTAATCTAATAACAATGATCCTATAGAGTAGTCCCTGATGCTTTAGATCAGATAGACCCAAATTAATGTGCAGTTTTTAGGAATCTGACATTATTACTGGAATTATCTTTTCAGTTAAATGTATTTTATAGGGGTATATAGAGCAATATATGCTCTGTTGATTTTAATGAGTTGTGACGTCTGGTATTTTATATGCTTGAATATTTGCCCACATGTAGGAATATGGACTCAGCCCCTAATGGAAAATAACATAAAGGAACACTGTAAAAAATCAGAAGTTAGAATGTCATTTAGCTATCCAGAGATGACACAGTAATTAACTATTGACACTTGTGAATAAGCTAGCACAAATTAATCTTGACACATTTGCAGACGAGTGATATCTTACAGTGAACACTTTGTAATTATATTTCAAAATGAAAATTAAATGACACTTAAAACTAGGTTGTCATGCTCAATGAAGCGAGCATGTAGCTCAACCGATTGGCAAATAAAATTCAGAATTTGAGCCACATGGTGCTTATGTACCATACTTCACTGTGTCAAACCCATACATCTAGAGTGGATGATAGTAATTGCACTGTGGTGTTTTGGATGCATTTCTGTGCAGCACTTTATCATTTAGGAGGGACCATCAATATTAGATGTCTAGTGGTGTTTCACTGGATGACTAAGAGGAAATAAATATTCAGAGATCCAGCATGTATACCTAGAATTGCAGAGTGAGTTGTCCATTTCTGATTTGAATGGTGATAAGCAGAGTGGGCCTTTCCAAACTGATGACATACTGTTTCCATTTTGCTTATAAAAAGCTTTGGGGAGGAGTGATCCCATTTCTCAAACTGTACCCTTCGTTAGGGGTAGCTTTATCATGACTTCTAGAATGAACCAGTCATCACCAGAAGCCATTAAGCCACATTTGGGGGCAGATTGCTATTTGTCATCTTCTGCTGAAAGGAATGTGATTTGAGTGTGTCCCTTTACTCTATGCTAAAATATTAAAAGGACTCAGGAAGTATACAGCTGAGGGCTGGTTCACACCCATTTCTACTTCCAACATTGTCCATTCTAGAATATTTTGGAAATAGAAGAAATAGGAAGAACATAACTCTTGCCTATAGGGCACCACTAAACCAAGTCCTTCTAAGTGCTTTCTGGCCATTTTTTTTCTCTGGCTTCCTAGGTTGGCAGTGAGTGTGTTCTCACTAAGGGGCATTCCAATGGGCTTCAAACTCCAGCAGCTCAGATTTTGAGGTAATAAGTAGCCTGACACCTAACTCCTATTTTATAGTAAACACCATTATCCTACAGAAGTTCCCTGCTCTCCTGAGGGGCAGATTCAGTCTTCAGTAGGGCTTGCATTAAGTAGTTAATGTTTCTTTTTACAGATGAGATGATGTGCTAAGATGTTGAATTTGATTGTTGGGTGAAGCAGGGAATACAAAACTTGTATGTGGATCCCGTACTGTAAAACTAACACATTACCCTCAAAAGGATGTGAATAAATATTAAATTGTGTTTGTTTTTAAAAATGCTTTGTACATTACACATTATATCAACAAAAAAAGATAAAGGTTTTTGCCTTTTGCTGTATTTTTTTGGCACTCCCTTGACAATATTTGTGTTATCAGTTCTGAAAATCTTTACAGTAGAAAAGGTTTCACCAAAGTAGGCCATATTATAAGTAATAGAAAGTTCTTTCCTATCTTTGCTTACAGATTTTACTTTTTAAATACAAATTAAGCTCCTTAGAAAAATGTAGGCAGAGTTTTCCTGTTTTTATTCTTCAAGGACGAGATTTTGAAATTCCCATTCTTTCCAGATGACCAGTGCAGATATAGATGAACTGCTCACAAATGTAATACAAGGGGGTAGTTTTCATGTACAGGTAAAGATTTAGGGGCAAGCAGAGAGATGGCACCTGTTTGAAATATTTCCTTTTCTCCAACTTTCTGATTCTGCCTCTCGCATTTTATAGGAACTCTTTCATGTAGAAGTACAGTAAAGCATCCTTGTAATACCAGGAGAGGTACCTGAGGTAATGGCAAAGGTGTAAGCATTTCATTTTAACTTAATGAAACTTTATTTCTGATAGATTGCAAGACAACAGCAGCAACTTCTGCAACAGCAGCACAAAATTAATCTCCTGCAGCAACAGATCCAGGTCAGTGTATTTTATTACTCTCATCTGATTATACTTAGATACTTTTCTTCTTGAAAATGGAATTTAAAATGCTGCAAATGCACCCTTCTCTTATAAACAGCACCAATAGAGCTGTTTGTTATTCAGGGATGTTGTATACAATTGTATAAGTGGATGTAGAAAATATTGACTTGGTGGCAGTCTAAGCATTCTTTTCTGATGTGATGCGTAAGCAGAATAAACCTTATCTTATTTTCCTTCTGCCATTTGCCTAGCACAACCTGGTGGAAACCTAATGGTTTCCAAGGTAGCATACACATGCTAGTTTTATTGTCACAAACTACCTGCTGCTTTATATTTTACCATCTAATAGTATCATGGGTAGAAGCTTATGTTTATTTGCTTGTTAGGACTGTCTGGGCCAATTATGAGCAGAATCTTATGACCTAGGAAAAGGTTGGTAATAATTAATTTGTTCTTTAACAGATATTAACTGCATTTCTGCTAGGCGCTGAAGAGAACATAAAGATTAATAAGTAATTGTCTGTCTTCAAGAAGTTTATAGTCTAGAAAGGAAGAAAAACTTGTTCTTGAATAATTGTAACACACTTTAGAAATTCCTTTTCTTTTCTTTCTTTTCTTTTTCTTCATTTCTTTTCTTTTCTCTTTTTTTTTTTGTGGCAAGTTAACACAGTATATAGATCATAATTGCATGGGCCTGGGAAAGAATTCTGATTTCTGTCATTCCTTTAGAAATTTGATGGTTAATTCAGCTAACAGCTTTTTGACATAGGTAAGGGAAGTGGTCTCCATTTTTGAATAGGAACATAGGTGTGTGACTTCTAGAAAGCCTTAGAATAAGCAACTGGTTGTCTGGTGATTAATCCTCAGGAATATTGATCCCAGAGTTATATGTATCCACCACAGTCTCTGGGTTTCTCTTGGTTGCTGTAGATATTTTCTAACCACTGGGATCTATGATTCAGCCTAGTTGGGGCAGTATATTCTGAATTATATTAGTCCTTTCCTTGAGATTAGTATCACACCTTCCTATATTTAAAAAAAATCATTTACATAAAGTCATAACATATTTCACCTCACTGATGAAAGCCAGTGATTTTAACTTAGATTTTTGCTTCATTTTGTAATCACACTTAGTGTTCCAGGTAGTAGTCACTGCATTTAAAATACCAGTTTGGTGCCTGAAGAAGTACCTGTACCTAATTTGGCATTTCTTCCAGCTGTCTTTACTAGGAGGTCTTAACCAGTGTTTGTTGTTATTGTTGCTGTTTTAGTTAGTTCTGATTCTATATTCCATACTCAAGTCTGTATGTTTCAAAATAAAGACTCCAAACATAGAGGAGACGGTATATCTCTGGCATTTGGGACAGTCAGCCTTTATAATTAAATCTTGAAATAATTTCTCATCCTGGTATCTCATGACTCATGCTGAGATCCTTAATTAAATAACTGTCCAGGTGTTCCCTTGTTCTGCCCTTATTAGAATTTTCAGTGTGTCTCCCACTGCTAAGGTCAAGATTTTTAGCCTGTGGCTTCCTACATTTTTCTCTAGATCCCTCTGTAAGAACTCAGTAGGTGTTAAATAACCTAACCCGATCATTTAGTTCTCTCTGTTTCTCCTATTTGTAAAGCAGAAATGGAAGAAATTCCCTGAGATGTTCTCATATCAGTTACTTACTACTAATGTTTTTACTACCTCTTTATTACTTACTTCTTTGTTTATTTTGAATATATTTCACTTCTTAGTCCAAAGTTGTTTGCAGGAACTGGCTGTCTTAATTGACATTTGCCTGTTGTACTGAGGATCTCAGATGAACAGCAACAAAATCAAAGTATTTTAATTAAATATTATAGGCATTTATTGATTGCATATGATTTTATAGTTATAACTTGACTATATAAAGTTGATATCTTTTTCAGGAAACTATAGGTCATGATCTTAAAATATTATTCATCAGAATGTTCAATCTGAGAAGACAAGAAAGTTGGTTTTTCAAGTGTTTTAATAGAAGTTTAATTGCTTTTAAATTTGTAGATATTTCTCATTGTTTACATTTTTAAAAATTGAAGCTAATCAGACCTTGATCTCAGCAGTATAAATTATAAAATCATAGAGAGATTCAAAATAGTTACATTAATTTTAGAAATATGGGATTCTTTGTAACAGGAATTCATATTTTAAAAAATAAGAGGAGGCAATAACCTATATTTATAGTTTATTCTGTCCTGAGCTACAGCTTCACTGCATACCTTGTCAGTATTTATCTTATCGAGCATGAGACCATTCAAAGAATTTTTCAAATACTGAAAAACACTTCTCCTTGCACAAAACATATTAATCTCTGACACTTACAAAGCATGTATTTGATATTCAGACTTTTAGTTGTTTTTTTGGAAGGGGAATGGGTTAACTGTATTTTCAAATAAGTTTTTTGGCCAGCCATAGGCGTGATCAAATTTAGGAGAGAGACCGTTGTTGGACTAATTTTAATTTGAGCAAAATATGAGTTTTAAGAAATGCTTCAAACATTTTTCTATCATGAAACATTCTCCCTTTTGAAAACAAAACAGAGTAAGATAGTAAATACAAAACCTTTCTCTTCTGAAAACAAATGAATACAGCAACAATTTGAGATCCCAAGTTTGAACTTTTTCCTTCTTTTAAAATCTTGTATCCTAGAACCTATTTGCTAACATGGTCAGCAAGATTAAGCCATGGCAATTGGCCATAGATCCCAAGTATCAGGTGGGATACATAGATCTAAATAATACATTTAAAGATTATTCTTTACTTCTAGTTCAGAATGCTGACTTCTGAATTAGTACTGTTGTTTTGAAATTTGCAAGCTGTACTAGAAAGAAAGGGAAGAGTGTCTAACCTCTTATAACAACCACACACAAACACATCTGGATCTGTTATAATGGAAACAAATGAAAACCTGGGTGGTTTGCACACTGAAAAGCAGGATCTTTCATTAGCGATAGGAAAAGGCATGAATAAGATAGTATTGCAGGGCTTCCCTGGTGGCGCAGTGGTTGAGAGTCCATCTGCCGATACAGGGGATACGGGTTCGTGCCCTGGTCCGGGAAGATCCCACATGCCACGGAGCGGCTGGGCCCGTGAGTCATGGCTGCTGAGCCTGCGCGTCCGGAGCCTGTGCTCTACAACGGGAGAGGCCACAACAGCGAGAGGCCCGTGTACCGCCAAAAAAAAAAAAAACAGTATTGTAAAAGTCCACGTGCTTATTTTATTTGCAGTCCTTCAAAACTTATTCTAGTTAAAAATTATTTCATTTATATATTTTTCCTTTAATATAATTTTAATGTAATTTTGCCTTGGTAGATTCTAATTAAATTTTTAAAGGGATACTTTTAAGACCATATATGGTCTTTAAGCCATGTTGAAACCATAAGATGAATGATTTTGTGAACTAATGTTTTTACACTTTCGATGAGTCAATTTTTACTATTTAAAAATCAGGTTAATAACTTTAAATGATTATTAAAATTCTTTAATGTCAACAGATCTTTTAGGAGGCTGTTCGCTTAGTGAATTCAAATCCCTCTGTTGGTGCTTTGGGGAAAATGGCGATTCCTCTAATTTGTTACATATTAAGTAATTCCCCGGATATGGAGCCCAAAATAGACATTTTTGATATTTCCAAGACAGAAATAGCACAGTTTTTATCAACTTTGTGGATAGCAAAACTAATAGATCATGGAATATGGATCCTTGGATTTGGGAATGTTGATTCTCATGTTATAATTCCAAAGGACAAATAACTGCTTTAGTAATTTCTTCCTCTTTCTCCCACACCATAGTATCTTAGCCAATCTTTTGAAGCATTTTACTTATGAGTTATGTTGACTAGGAAACAAAATTCAGTTTGAATCCATTGGGCATATCAACACATATTTATAGCATTTTAATCAAACATTAAATGTAATTCTAATCTAAACAAACCGGAAAATATTTTATAAATCTTGATTTCTTGATCCGTCCATATATTTATTCATCTAACCTCATTTGACCATGTCATGGTTTTTGAATCTAAAGATATTCTTCATGGATACAATATACCACATTCTTTGGTTTTGATAGCATGTCAGTAGGAACATATTTAACGATGGCATTTCGTTGCTAGAACTTAATCTTTGCAAGAGAATTCACCTTATTAAAATATCTCTGTGAGAAACTTACTTTTTCAGACATGAGTGGTGTGATCCAAATATTCATATCTCTTTAGACCCCTCTGTACAGGTGGCGTCCTCGCCTCACATCACTGACCAAACAACAATGGTCTCTTAAGAAGGGACTGATTGGTTGGGATTTTATTTGGGCACTTGGCCTCCTGGGCCAGAGCCAATGATTTAGTCAATTCATATACGTATACCTTTTTTGGGTAAAATTGTGAAACTTGAAATTCTTAGCTCAGTTCTTTGTTAATCTTTATGATTAGTATATAATATTCATTGTCCTTCCCTCACAATTTAATACATGAATTAGATGGTGAACTCAACCTGTGGAAGGCCTGAACTAAAGCCATTGCTGCTGCTTTGCAGATACTCTCTCTTATCTGAAAACTTTCTCTTTTAAATGCTCTAATACATACTGCTTATTTACACAGCCAAATGTTTGTCTCTTCACTGAAGCTTCACTCTATTCTTTAGAGTATGTGAGTGTTTTTCATATATAGTGTTTTCTTTTTTGATTATAATATATTCATTTGTGCTATTTGCGTATTTTGTGTGTCTCTGTGTATTTGTTATGTGGTTGAGTGCCGTTAAATATGTGTTCTCCTTTCTTCCTACGTAACCAGTAGACATATCAATATTATGAGCAGGGAGGTGATTGTTCTTAAACTAGTAAACAGAATAATTTGAAATGTACTTTCACCTTTTAAGGAGATAAACCTTGCCTTTTGTTTCCTTCAGTATGATTAACTACAGGTATTTCAGGTATCTGCTGAGCAGAATAAGGACTACCTTTTCATGTGAAG